GGCATAGGGGACAGGCAGTGAAAATGCATGGAAATGGGACATGGACAGTCATATACTAAGAACAGAGTTCATAGAGTACCTGTACAGAAGTAAAGTGTAAGAAGCCTGGAAAGGCAGAAAAGGCCCAAATTATGAAAGGTTTAAAAACCAAATATTTTATATTTAACCATAGAGGTAAAAGGGAGCCATTGCAGTTTAATGAGTAAGGGGCAGAAAAGTACAGACCTGTGTTTTAGGAATACTACTTTGATAGCTGAATGAAGGATAGAATAGAGTAGGGAAAATCATGCGGAAGGGAAACCAATGAGCAATGGTACAGGCAAGAGGTGAGGCGGGCCTGCACCAGGGTGGTAGCAGCATCAGAGGAGAGAAGGAAGTGTATACAAGAGTGGTTTCATAGGTAGAATCAACTGGTCTTAGCAGCAGAACTGATATAGGAAGTGAGAAAAAGTGAAGAATGAAGGCTGACCACTTAGGTTGTGAGAGTAGATGATGGGAAGATGGTGGCACTCATGGGAGTAATAAGGAAATTTTGAAGGCAGAGGATTTGGGGGGGAAAGATAACGAGTTCACTTTTGGACGTGTTGGGTTTAAGAAGTCTATGGGATTTGAGATGTCCAAAAGACAGTTGAAAATATGAGACTAGAACTCAAGAGAGTGGCTACAGCTGGAAAAAATTGATCTGAGAATCATCTGCAGAGAGATGATAATTGAATCCATAGGAACTAATGATTTCAACAAATGAAATAGTATATAGGGAGAAGAGGGCCCAGGAGGGAGCCATTGGGAACAGCAACAATTAGCAGGCACAACTTGGATGAAGATCCAGCAAAAAAGGACTGAGAAGGAACAGCCAGAGAAGTAAGAGGAAAACCACTTCACTAAAGTCATTAAAACCTTGAAAGACAAGATTATCAAGGAGAAGAAAGTGATCAAAAGTGATAAAGGATAAGGAAGGATGAAGATTGAGAAGCAGCCATTAGATTTGTCAATTGGTAACAGAGAACAGTATCAACTGAAGCTTGACAGCACAGAATTAAGAAGAAAGTGAGAAGAAAGGTGTTTAGCCACGAACAAGAGATATAGGATGATGACAGAGGAATTGGAGGGATCAAGTGAAGATATCCTTTTTCCACAATAGGTGAGATATGGCTGTGTTTGTATAATCCAGGGAAGCAGCCAGTAGTTAGGAAAAGATTGAGGTTGACTGAGAGATTTGGCAATATGGCGGTGAATCCAGGACAGAATGGGATCACTTGGGGGGCAGTTAGGTGGCGAAGTGGATTGAGCATCGGCCCTGAAGTCGAGGACCTGAGTTCAAATCCAACCTCAGACCAAACACTAGCTGTGTGACCCTGGGCAAGTCACTTAACCCCAATTGCCTAAAAAAAAAGAGAGAGAGAGAGAATGGGATCACTTGTGCATGTAGAGGGATTTTACCTCACTAAGGAGAAAGGCCACCTTCTTCAGTAAGACTAGTAAAAGAGAAGATACGGGGGAAGCATCTGAGTGAGCTGGGATGAGGAGAAAGGGAAAAGAGGGAGCTCTCTGCAAATCTCACCTGAGAGTGTGGGGGGAAGGGTGCATGAGACTTTGGAAGAAGGATAAAAAAGTTTGGAAAAATTATTGGGGTGAGTGGGATAATGAAGCAATGATGGAGATATAAAAAGGTTTCTTTGTCCTAGTGAGGGCCAAGTTGAGATTATGCATCATGAATTTGTTTTGGACCCAGTCAGCATGGTTTTGTGATTTTCTCCAGCTCTGTTCCAAAGCATATGAATAGGAGTGAAGGATGGTGAGATTTTTTCAAGGCTGGAGTATGGCAGGGCAAAATAGGCCACAGGATATGGAGATTCAAGAAAAGAAATGATATAGAATTCATCTGATTCACAAAGGTCAAGATGGATAAGGGAGGAGAATGTAACCAGTTCAAGGGTTATGGTCTGGGGATGAACTGAGTCACAGAGGAATTGGAGGCCATGGTAGGACTTTAATACAACTATAATTATTCAGTTCAAATGAAAACCAAAAAACAAAACAAAAGAAATCTTACTTCAATTAACATTACACATTTGTATGTAAAAGAAAAAAATGGCTTCTTTTCGAAGTTTTTTTTGATAACTGTTGTCTCATTTGCTATTCACAACAAACCTATTAGGTTGTTTTTACAAATTTAGTACTTGAAGCTCAGAGAATGTTTTAAAAAAATATTATGAAGTGATAGTTATCTTTTACTAACAAAACTGAAAAGAGGTAGTAGTGTAATGCGGTGACTCAAGAGTTGAAATCAAGAGGTTTGAGTTGGAGTTTTGGCTCTGATAACTTCCTGGTTGTACTACCATAGAAGAGTCTCCTAATCTAAATTTGCTCATCTATAAAATGGGTATTAACTTCATCACAGAATTATGTGCAAAGTGCTTTCTAAACTTTAATGTGCTATATCAATGTGAGTTACTATTACCAATAATAAAATTGTAAATTAAGCATGAGTACTGAAATCTTCCTTTATTAAAAAATTTCACAATTTGAAGAAAATGAAAAGATTGAAAATATCCCATATCTAGAAGCAGTGTTTTAAATATGATTTGTCATTTACCTTAGAACCAGGTATGCTGAGTTCCCCCTATTTGGTAAATAACCTCTCTGGGAAACATTGTCTGGCCTATCACATTTTGTGAAAGATTTGAAGTTTGATTGAACAAAACTATTTTATTTGACATTTCCATTACAAAAAAGGTAACTAGCATCGAGAAGACCTGGTTATATTGTTATTGTTGCTGAATTTTTTTCAGTCATGTCCAGTTCTTCATGATCTCATTTGGGTTTTTCTCAACTGTGACCCCACTGGGGGTCTTCTTGGCAAGGACACTGGAGAGGCTTGCCATTTCCTTCTCCATCTCATTTTGCAGATGAGGAAACTCAGGCAAACAGGATGAAGTGGCTTGCCCAGGGTCACACAGCTAATAAGTGTCTGAGATCACATTTGAACCCAGATCTTCCAGACTCCAGGCCCAGCACTCTAACCACTGGGCCACCTAGCTGCCCTTGTTATACCTGTTATACTGTAATTATTGATTGCTCCACCCTGTTAGGCATTTTCCTTTCCTTAAAGCAAAGCAAAAAATAAGCCTGAGAAGCTTGCCTGAGCCTATTCAGCTATTGTTATAGCCAGAATTAGAACCCAATCTCTTGAATGTTTTCCCTTCTTATTCATCACATCATTTATTTTGCATGTGTTACATACACCTGGATTTGCAAAGATTAGCAGCCATTGTCTCTCTCATCATCAAACAGTAAAATACTGGCTAAGTATTCACTTTTGTGCTAGTCATTCTACAATTTGTTTATTTCCTATATGTTTCATAGAGTCTTAACTGTATGAAATAGATAAAGGTGGTATGTACCAAAAACAGATACCATCTAAAAGAAGTTTCCTTCTCTCCTAGGGTGTAACACAAGAGAACTTGACTGAAAATGGGGTTTGGAACTGCCTTCATGAAAAGGAAGGAAAGTGGGCATCTTTGAGTACTGTGAATAATAATAAAGTGGAAAAAAACTAGTCAGAGTTATAAGATTTAAGTTCACATCCCAGTTCATTTACAACTTAGGTAAATGATTTTACCTTTCTGGATCTCAGCTTCTTCGTCTGTGAATCATGTGTATGAATGCTCCAGAAATCTTTTCCAATTCAAACAATCTACAATTCTAATAATAGCCCATGTTTGAGGTTTTCTTTCCTCACAAGAATTCCGAGACAGGTGATGCAAGTATGCATTTACAGATAGATAAACTGAGGCTCTGAGATACTGAGACTTGCCACATGCCAGGAGACATAGGGTTAATAACAGTCTAGGATTTGAACAGACCCTTCTAAATCCAAGTCTAGAACTCTAACCATTATACCACATTACCTCTCTAAAGCAAGGAAGCATTTGAGATAATTGGAAGGAAGGGTCAACACAATCTTAAAAAAAGCACTTCTTTTATTTTTTTGTATATTTTTTAAAAAAATTAACATTATCTTTTTTAAAAAATTTTGAGTTTCAAGTTCTGTCCCTCCTGGCCCTCCCCCACACCATGAGAAGGCAAGCAATATCAATAATAAATGTGAAGTCATGCAAAACATATTTCCACATTAGCCATGTTGCAAAAAAAAAAGGCAAAAAAAGTAAAAGGAAACAAAAAAATATGCTTCAATCTGCACTCAGAGTTCACCAGTTCTCTCTCTGGAGGTGGACAGCATTTTTCATCTTGGGTCTTTTGGAATTTTCTTGGCTCCTTTAATACCTACGAATGAGCTGGAAGCTGGTTGGCAAAGGGATAGAGCACTGGGCCTGGAGTCAGGAAGCCACGGCTAAACAAGAAAAAGTATAAGACCTTTTTAAAAAAATTATTTAAAAACAATTTTTTGACGCTATGATGTGCTCCTATTTATTGGCATGCAGAACAAAGCCTGATATCCATCTACTAGGAGCAGGGAAGGCCCTTTCTTTGGCGGGGGGGGGGGGGGGTGAGCACCTTCTCTAAAGTCTAGCATTGTTTACCGAAATGAGATTGAATTGATTGTTCTCAGTGCCAAAAAGACAAGGGGTCAATGTACTGGAGAAGAGAACTACTTCTGTATCCTTTACAAAACAGGATGTTTTTGTAAAGATTGGGCGGAAAAAATATAGAGGAAAAAAAGAAAACTGCGGACCTAAGGAAAGCACGCAAGCATGGCAGAAGCACACCTAAGCCAGAGAATTCAAAAGCTGTCAGGGCGACGAAAATGGTGGCGGGATCTAAAGGAGAGGAAGGATGCCCAGAGAGGCAGGAAATCGTGGTTGAGAAAGAACACCCTCTCCTAGGAGCGTGCGGGGAGGGGCAGACGCTTGCCTCTCATTCGCGCAGGCGCGCACTCAGGCGCACGCGTACCTGGCCGGCCTGCCCTCGCGTCGCGCCGCTCAGGTTGGCCTGCGCTTGCGCGAGCGAACCTGTGCCGGGGGGCTCGTCATCGCGACCGCCGCTTCCGTGCGCTCTTGTGCGTTTCCTGGTCCCGCGCCCTCACGCTCCCCCTCGGAAGCGGGGCTCACAGGGAAGGCCCGGCTGGTGGTCCCGGCATCTGTTCTCAGTCGTAGCCCGGGCGGCCATGTCGGCCGGGGAGGTGGAGCGGCTGGTGTCAGAGCTGAGCGGCGGGACCGGTGGGGATGAGGAGGAAGAGTGGCTCTATGGCGGTACGCAACTTGCTGTCGCTCCTTTCCCCCTTCCCCTCCCCCTCCTCCGCCGGTTTGCTCCGGGTCTCCTCTCCCTTCCCCGCCCTGCAGTGGTGGGGGGGCGGGCTTGCGCCTCGGGCCACGAGCCTCCCCGCACCGGTCGGGCCGCTAGGCCCGAGCGCAACGCGCGTAAACCCTTCGGGAGCTCCTCCTTCTCCACCCGCAGCCCACGCTCCCTTGGCCCTGGGTCCTAGCTCCGGGCCTGGGTCACCCCAGCGGCCTGCCCGCCACCCTGTGAGTGCAAGCCCCTGTCCCCTTCGGCCGGGAAGTCTCAAGCTGTGCCGAATGCCTCTTTAGGCTGTGTTCACGCCTTTATTCTCCCCGATCCTGGATGGAGATGGAGGTCGGAAATAATCTCCACAACAAAATAAAAAGAGCAAACCAGTGGGCATGTTTTCATGTTCATCCCATACGTACGAAGTTGCTTAGGACCTTCATAAGAACCCGACTCTCTTTTACTTTTGTCTTTTTTCATTAGCGACTTAATAGCAACGCCCTGGATGGAGCCAGTAAAATATTGGCCCATTACCGTAATTAACGTGATGTATAGTAGTAGCTTGAGAAGTTTTGCGTTCCCCCCACCCGCTGAATCACAAGCTAGTTAATAAATGTTTGTGAAATAAATGGGTTTGTCCTCCCTCCTACTGACGTATCTTTAAACTGACTCTTCCTTTTAAGTTAGTTTATGTTTAGCGTAGTTACCTATCATGCACTTATTTTCTAAAAAAGAATTTAACCTTGTATTTGATGCTGTTTGCCTGTATAAAGCAGCCAGATGTTTGACATTTGAACAAGTGTAGTGGCATCCAAGTGTTTTCTAGATATTGCCCCGTTTTTGGAATTGCATAGTTAAGATAATACAAGTCTGTACCATGTATCCCTTTGATGAAACTAAAATTAGACTGTTTGGCAGGAAGAGTTTATCAATAGCATTAAATAAATTTTAAATGATGAGGTTTCATTTGAGAGTCCAACACTTGAGAAACTTAAATTTAGCTTAAAATATAGAAATTAGATCTGATTTTCTATTTTTAAGAAATCCAAAACCCACAGGTTTTTAGATATTTGTAAGAAGGAACATAAGTCTGTATGTGATATACAAGGTGAATTTTGAAAGATTAGGTTAGTACTTGTGCTACCACTTTTAAAATAAAGATTCATTGACAATTCATTTATTTTGGGTTTTTTGTTTTTTTTCCTTGACAGATGAAAATGAAGTTGAAAGGCCAGAAGAAGAAAATGTCAGGTTAGTGAAATTGCCAGTTGATACCTATACTGATCATGTAGTGGTGCCAATCTTGCAGTTATTAAGAGTTATAAATTTGGATTTTATATGTGATTATTAAGGTTAAGCTGAAATTTGTAGTTGATTAAAGTTTTAAGGACCTGCATTCATAAAATATAGAGAAGAATTTTTCTGGTTTCTGTCAGCTTCTTAGGGATAGAGACTGAACCTGTGATTTCATTGGTATTAGGAACTTGTGTGTGAGGAAACTCTTTCTGCCAGTGCAGGCTTCTCTGCCACTTACAGTCTTAGAGTTTTCTAGAGTAATGAGAGAGATTGAATGAGCTCCCTAGAGTCACACAACCAGTATACGTCTGGTCACCTTGGCTGCTAGGTCAGCTTTTGATCCCCTATGCCATGCTGCCTCTTCTGTTAAAAACTTAGAACATAGTATCTTTTGTTATTTTCACAGTTTTTGTTTTTCACTATTTACTACCTTAAGGTGAATTCGGTAAATCTATATGCAAACTGGAAACTTTTTAAACTTATACATTCATTAGGCTTTTCTAAAATTCTAACTAGTATAATAATCAAAATTAATAATACTATGGTCAAGAAAATTACCTGTTACCAATTTGTTTAAATTGCTTGGTGCTTTGTTACAAGAGTATCTTTGTTTGATGTGCTAGGGTGAATGTGTGGCTACATTTTATTGAATTAATATACAAGAAATCTCCAGTCTATAAAAATTCAGTTTACCAACACACCATATAAATAAATTGCCATCTATACACTACCCTGCCTCTTTACCACTAAGCCCATAGCCCAGTGTGAAAGAATTTCAGCTTAGAGAGAATTTCTAGATACAAAAGAGACCACTGAGAAGATTGAAGAGACTTTGGTTCATGCATTGCCTTTACTACTTATAAGCCTTCCTAGATTGCTCATGAGATAACTTTATAGTGAAAAGAACATAGTGTATGAGTTGGAAGACCTTGGTTGAAAGTGTCCTATACTTCTGGATCTGTTAATGCTAGGGAAGACATTTAACCTCTCTGAAGCTTTGGTTTCCTTATCTGTAGAATGAGGGTATTAATACTAGTACTACCAGCTTCACAGAGGTTTTTTGGAAAAAGTACCTATAATCCAAAAATCACTACATAAAAGTGGACTCACTAATATTCTTTAGTATTAAAGTTTGCCTGCATTTTGAGGTAAGTAGATTTTTGTGAGCAAGACTTAGAATATAATCAGTTTTCAATTTCTTTGGGAAAATGTGTTCTAGCTTTTTTTTTTTTTACAAGCTTATAAAAGGCAACCCATTCTTTTTTTCACATGTATATGTGGATTTTATTTTGGGTTTTTTTTTTAAATTAATTATTTTTAGTTCTCAACATTCACTTCCACAAGATTTTGAGTTCCAAATTTTCTCCCCATCTCTCCCCTCCCCCCACCCCAAGACAGCATGGATTCTAAATACCCCTTCCCCCAATCTGCCCTCCTTTTTATCACCCTCCCCCCCATTGTCCCCTCCCCTTCAATTTTCCTGTAGAGCAGGATAGATTTCTATACCCTATTGTCTATATATCTTATTTCCCAGCTGCATGTAAAAAACAATTTTTAACATTCATTTTTAAAACTTTGGGTTCCAAATTCTCTCGCTTCTTTCCTCCCCACCCACCTTCATTGAGAAGGCAAGCGATTTGATGTAGGTTATACATGTGTAGTCATGCACAACGCTTCCATAATAGTCATGTTGTGAAATACTAACTATAATTCCCTCCATCCTATACTATTCTATTCTCTCCTTTGACCCTGTCCCTCCTCAAAAGTATTTGCTTCTGATTACCCCTTCACCCAATCTGCCCTCCCTTCTATCATCTCCCCCTCTTTTATCCCTTTTCCCCCTATTTCCTGTAGGGTAAGATAGATTTCCATACCTAATTGAGTGTGTATGTTACTCCCTCCTTAAGTCAAATCCAGTGAGAGTAAGATTCATTCATTCCCTCTCACCTCCTCCCTCTTCCCTTCCACTATAAAAACTTTTTCTTGTATCTTGTGTGTGAGATAATTTACTCCATTCTATCTCTTCCTTTCTCCTCTGCCCAATACAATTCTCTCTCTCTCACTCCTTAATTTTATTTTTTACATATCATCCCTTCATATTCAACTCATCCTGTGCCCTTTGTCTACACATGTTTATTTATTTATTTATATATTTATGTATTTTCCCTCCAACTACCCTAATACTAAGAAAGGTCTCATGAGTACAAATGTCATTTTTCCACGTAGGAATGTAAACAGTTCAACTTTAATAAGTCTCTTATGATTTCTCTTTCAAGTTTACCTTTTCATGCTTCTCTTGAGTCTTGTATTTGAAAGTCAGATTTTCTTTTCAGCCCTGGTCTTGTCATCAAGAATGCTTGAAAGTCCTCTATTTCATTGAGTGTCCATTTTTCCCCCTGAAAGATTATACTCAGTTTTGCTGGGTAGGTGATTCTTTGTTTTAATCCTAACTCCTTTGACCTTCTGAATATCATATTCCAAGTCCTCAGATCCCTTAATGTAGAAGCTGCTAAATCTTGTGTTATCCTGATTGTGTCTCCACAATACTTGAATTGTTTCTTTCTGGCTGCTTGCAATATTTTCTCCTTAACTTGGGAAGGCAACCCATTCTTATGTTAAAGACTGCCAATATCAGTTCTGATGAATCTAGACTAAATTGTTTTCAATCTTTGCTTATTATTGTTGCAGTAGTCTTATATGTTGAGAAAGGACTTCTGAGGTACAGTTCTTTATAACATTAGACTAGTGTGGCAAAGTTTCTAAATCTGACTATATTATACAATAAGGGTGGTTATTGTGGGTTCATCTATATGAAAGACTGAAATTCCTAGTTTTGAAGTTTTGATTTACTCATCAGATTCCTTAAAGTTATTATAGTCAGCAACAATAATCTATTCCATAAGTTTTATTTGGGTTAATTTAATAAAATAGTGTATTTCATTTTGCATTTTGACTAAATTTCAAAAATTCACCTTTAATGATTAATGTAGTTCATTATGCTGATTGATAGTGATGGAGTTAATATACCAGTTTGTGTTCCCATTCTAATGCATTTCTCCTGCAATTTGTGTACTGTAGTTATCTTTGATTTTTAGTCTTGACTCTTTTCATGAGAGCAGGGATCATGATGTTGTTAAATTTTATACCATCCCCTATCCTAATACAGTGAGTGGTGTGCAGGTGCTAAGTAAATGTTTGGTGAATGAATAAGGGAAAGATTGTTGGGGGTAGGATGAAAGGCTTTGTGGAAGGGGGATCATTTTAGTTGTGTTCATAAGATTTAGAGCCAAAGCGTATGTTAGGTTATATAGTTAAATTGTCTCATTTTATAGATGAGGAACCTGAAGCCCAGAGAGATTTAAATGAATTGCTCAGGGTCACACAGGTAATGTGACAGAGCTAGAATGTGAACCAAACTCTTCTGACCTGAAATGCATCATTCTTTTTTGCATCCCTAAAGTTTTAAAGGATAAATTCCACAGACTAGGAGGAGGGAGGACAGTTCAGACAGAGAGCAATGTTTTTACAGGAATGAAAGGCTTTTGTTGTCAAAGAAATATTATCATTAATCTGAAATTCCTTTATCTAATCATAATCTGTTCACATTCCACCTACCCTTCTACTTTAGAACCTCTTACCCTGTTTTTCATCCTCGCTATGACTTCTAATTCTTCCACCCCTCAGGTCTTCCTCAGGCCATTGCTGCTATACTGGCTACACTCTTCTGCCTTGTCCATCTTGACCCTTTCATGAACCAGTCCTTGTCCTATCACCTTTCTTGCCCTGATAAGCCCCAGCCTTGAATTACTCCCATCATCCACTGCCTTCACTCCCATTCATATGCTATTCAACAACAAAACTAGAGAAAATTGTGTTGATAGTGTCCATTAAAATATGTTACATAATTTCAACTGTGTCCTCATTGAGGCAAGACAACCCTTTACACCTCCATCATTGATTCACTATCCCACTCTCTGTAGCACCTCTTCCAAACCTTTTCATCCCTCTCAGCTGAGAACCTTGCCTCATATTTGACTGAAAAAAATGAGGCCATTTGTTAAGAGCTCCCTTTTTCTCCATCCCACCTCACTCAGATGTCTTGTGCTGCTATCCTCCTTCACTCCTGTCCCACAGGAAGTGGTGGCCCTTGCTCCTTGGCAAGAAAAAATCCTGTATGTACACAAGTGATTTTGTTCCATACTGGATTCTCTAGTAGATTGACAACTTTCTTACTATTCCTCAATATCTGCTGACTGCTTTCTTCTCCCTACAAACAGGGCCATGTCTTATAATTCTCAAAAAAAATCCTCTTTATCTTTTCACCTCATCTAAATAGCTTCCTGTATCTCTCCTTGCATTCCTGGCTAAATTCCATGTGTAGGGTGTTCCTTTACTTCCTTTCCTCTCACTCTCTTAACTCTCCACAATCTGGCTTCCAACCTTATCATTTAACTGAAACGTCCCTCTTCGATGATATTTTGCCAGTGATTTCTTAGTTGCCAAATCTAATGGTCTTTTTTCCCTCAATATTCATCCTTCTTGACTTCTTTGTACCCTCTTAATTCAATTCTTCCCTCTTGTTCTTGGTATTCTCTTCTCCAGGTTTTTATGACATTGCTTTCTCCTGGTTGTCCTACATGTTTGAACTCTCCTCAGTCTCCCTTGCTAGATCTTCATCCAGGTTGTGTCTGCTTTCTTGGGCCCTCTTCTCTATCTATATTATTTTGCTTGGTCATCTCATTAGCTCCCATAGATTCAGTTATCATCTCTGTGCAGGTGATTCTTAGATCTTGTTATTCAACTTTAACTTCTCTTCTGACTTCTAGTCTTGCGTATCCAACTACTTATTGGATTGGATGTCCCATATACATCTTAAACACAACATTTTCAAAAATGAATTTTCTCCCCAAATTCTTCCTTTTCCAAACTTCCCTATAATAGTCATGGACACCACTATCCTCCCAGTCATTCAGGCTTACAACCGTGGTGTCATCCTTGACTCCCCACTCTTTCTCACCCAGATACCCTTTTCCCTCCTACCCCCCCCCATTCACATCAGTTACTAAGTTTGCTCCATTCTCCCTTTGAAACATCTTGTGCATATACCTCCTTTTTCTCCCTTGACACTGACATTATGCCTGGATTATTGCAGTAGACTGCTAGTTGGTCTCCCTGCCTGCTGTTTCCCCGCTCCAGTCCATCCTCCACTCAGCTGTCAAAGCGATCTTCCTAAAGCATGGTTCAGACCTTGTTACCCAATCCATTAAGCTACAGTGACTCCATATTGCTTACATAATCAAATATAAAATACTCTTCTTGGCTTTCAAAGCTCTTCATAACCCACCACACTTTGCCATTTGTCTTTGTCTTCCAGCCTTAACCTCTTCACACATTTTGAGATTCAGTGCTGTTGGCCTCCTCACTTTTATTCATCTATGACTTTTCATCTCCTGTTTCTATGTATTTCCACTGGCTGTCCCCAATGCCTGAAGTTCTCTCCCTCTTCTTATATGTCTCCTGGTTTCTCTGGCTTTTTTCACATCTCAGCTAAAATCCTAACTTTTACAAGAAACCTTTCCAGATCGTCCTTAATTCAAGTGCCTTTCAGATTATCTTCATTTTATCTTGAATGTATACAGTTGCTTCTATTCCTCTCCCCACTCCCCACTGCATTAGATTCTGAGCTCCTTGAGAGTAAGGACTGTTTTTGCCTTTCTTTATATTTCCACAACTTAGCACACTGCTGGTCACGTAAAAAGTGCTTAAATAAACATTTGTTGACTTGAAAGTGGATTTATTCCTTAATTACTTTAATTTATTACTTAAAAGAATCTTAATGAACTACCACAATTGAAACAAATTACACTTTATAACTAACAAATTGGCAGAGATGACACAAGGAATAGAAACTTCATATTTGAGATGCTGGGATGACAGGCACACTAATAACAACCTATTGATGTAGCTGTTAATTTCTCCAACTATCATGAAAACAATTTTGGAATTGTTTTTTTAAAAGTGATTAAAATGTCCATGCTCCTTGATCCAGAGATCTCATTACTAAGTCTGTACCTCAAGGAGGTTTCTGTCAAAGTCAGAAAGATTCCATATGTATATCTGTCTGCATATGTGTGTGTATGTATGTATGTATATATATATACACATACATAAGCACATACATTGGGAAATGCAGGTGATACAGAAACAAAAGATACCGTATGTGTTTTTATATATATATGTATGTACATATTTTGTTATATATACATATGTATGTGCCAAAATATTCATTGCATTGCTTTTAAAAAATTAAAACTTTAGTGGTATCTTTTGTCTTTTGTATTACATGCATTTCCTGATGCATATTTCCTCTATAAAAGGGAAATCTTCACAGAAAGCCATCTCTTATTTAAAAAAAAAAGTTCTGCAGTACTGGCATGTAAAAAAAGTTTGACATTATACATGGTATTCCACACCCATGAATCCTCACTTTCTTATTACAGCACTTTCTGTGGTAACAAAGAATTGGGAACAAAATTGGTAGGAATAGGGAATGGCTAAACAAATAGTGGTCTGTAAATATCACGGAATAGTGTTGTGCCATAAGAAACAAGGAATTTAAAAAAATTCATTAAGACATGGGAAGACAAACTGATGCAGAGTGAAATCAACGATATATATATATGTACTCAAACAATGTAAATGGAAAGAACAAAATAAAATTGAGCAATGTGTAAATTATAATGACCAAGAAGAATTGAGAAAATAAAATTGAGCAATGTGTAAATTATAGTGACCAAGAAGAATTGAGAAAATATACCTCCTCTTGAAGACATGGACGATTAGGGACGTGGGGAGATGAATATGCTGTCAGATGTGACTTCTGTTGGTTGTGCTGAATTTTTAAAAATCTTTTGTTTTTTGGAGTGATCTATATTTGGAAATAAATGATTTAAAAAAACAAAAAGTATCAGTGAAACAAGAAAAACAAACATTTTAAATAGTTTAAATCTAGTTCAGAGAACATTGGACTTAATAATGAAAATACAAGGCTTTTCCTGAACAATGATATCAAATATTTAAAAAGTTTTTGATCTAGTTGCTTTTTTCCTCACAATCCTCTGCCATGTGTGTTTTTCTTGTGTTTTTTTTTTAATAAGTTTTTGTTGATGCCTTTTTTTTAATATCACCTTAATTTGCTCCAGTATCCTTCCCCATCCCTCTCACAAAACTATCTCTTATAACAAATATTTTTTCAAAGATAAAAAAAAAAAGAAAATGAGGGGAAAATCTCTGAAAATATATATAGAATACAATTCTTGTGAACCACCAACCTGTCTGTAAAGGGATAGCATGGGGGTATCTTCTCATATCTCTTCCTTCAAGTCATGCTTGTTCTTTATAATTTTGAAACACTGACTTAATTTTTTGTAGGTCTTTTCATGTACATTGTTGTATAGGCATTGTGCATACTGTTTTCTTGGTTCTACTTACTCTGCTTTTCACTCTATCAATTCATGTGTATCTTTTCATTCTCTGTATTCATCACATTCATCATTTCTTACAGCATGAGGTTGTTCATGATTCCCACTGTACAACGCATATAGATATTGGAAACTTCTTTATGGCAAAGGCATAGTATAGTTCCAGGTATCTTTACTTAAAAAATACTATTTTGGTCCTAATATAAACATTAATATTTTTTAAACTCTTATATAAGGTACAGTGATGGTAGTAGTTATATTGTCCTGTAATGAAAAGAGGAAAAGTAAAGGCGCTATTTGAGCTGATCTCAGATTATAGGAATTTTAAGATCAAAATTGGGTATAGTAGTTTTTACCAGATCAGAGGACACTTTTCTATACAATCACTTAAAATAGTTTCCAAGTACTTGCCATTTTAAACTACTTGTTAATCAGTGATTAAATTATAGGTCATTGATTTAGAGAATGGAGTTGGCTAGCATAAGTACTTCTCATCAGCCAAAAGTAATCTCTAATTGCATTTGAACTCTCATAGCTGCATGATATAGTGAGAAGAACACTTAAATTGGGGTTGAGACCCAATTTGAATTCTGATTATCACTTGTGTGATGATTAGTGATTTGGGTTCACTTGCCCAAAGTGGTATCCTCATCTGTAAAGTAGTTGTGAGAAAAGGCTTTGTAAACCTTAAAATAGCTTATCTACTTATTTATCTAGAGATTGTCTAATGTAATGTCATTTTTAATTACATTTTTTTTGTTCTTTTACTACATCTTCACATTTCATTGTATTTTTATTTGTAAATGTTCCTTTTCTTTACCACTATAACCCCAACCCCTTCTCACCCCAAACAAGACTATAAGTGCCTTGAATCCAGGTACTATTGTCTGATTCCCAGTGTCCCATTATACTGTATTTGTGGTAGTCACTTATATATGTGGCATATGATGGTTTTTATATACTAGTTGTATAATAACTGGCTTGGGTTTGTTTGTTTGGTTTTTTTAAGTGCTAATCCTCCATCTGGAATTGAAGATGAAACTGCAGAAAATGGGATATCAAAACCAGTAAGTTTAATTATGTCTATTATCAGACTCGTATACTTTAGGATGTTTTGTGGAGAAGTGTTTTTCTTTGCTTAAAGTAAGCCTTTATGAATATAGAACTTGATATTGTCAAAAAAAAAAAGCATTGGATTTATAATCTAAAGATCCGAGAACCGATTAATAGTGATGAGACTAAACAAATCACTTAGTCTCTATTAACCTCAGCTCCCTTATCCATAAAATGGGGATAATGGTGTTTCTATCTACTGCACAGGGTAGCGTTAAGGAAAATACTTTCTGAACTCCAAAGAACTATGTAAATTCAAGCTTTTATTATTGTTATTTTGCTCTGCTTTCTCAGAATATTACATCTTTAGGGGAACCATAGCCAGAGTAGTTTGCTCATAATGGATAATCATAAGCATATAAGTAAATTCATAAGCAATTATCCTCTCAATTTGATTAGATTTTTCCAGTGCCTACTAAGTCAGAGAATCATAACATTTTAGGTACTGAGTTGAAGAGTCTTTGTGTCACATCCAAACCATGAAATTGCTCTGTATTTGTCAAAATGTTCTCTGGCTTTGAACTCACTTTTCAGATCTTTCATTCCATATGTAATAGAAAGAGGGACAACTGTTCTGTCATAATGACAGAATCTCCATAGGAACTCTCCTTCCTTGCTTTCTGTTACCTGGACTCTTTCCCCTTCAACCCCTCCTCCTATACACTTTGCCTTCCTGTCACTCTCTTTCTACCTCAGGCCCCCAGCATCTGATGGTAATGACAAGGGAAAAGGACAAATATGTTAACCCTGCTATTCCCCTACCCCACCACCCTTTCACACATTGCCCTCCTTCCACTCTCTTAGCTTCCCAAGTGTTAGGTCTTGTTTTCCCCTAACCCCAGTTCTTTTGATAAGATGGTTAGGATAGTTTGAATTTTGTTTTCCTCTGGAAAAAAAAAACCCCAAAACTCTTAATTTCTCATTCAAAGCCTCAACTTTTATTACTCAAATGTAATTTTTATTTTGGCAACATCTAACTGAAAAAAGAGAATTGGGAAAGCAGGCATATAAGGGAACCTTTTTACTCCCTACATGTTTCTCCTTCCATTTTAGCATATAAAATCCTTTGAACCTTAAAAGGTCTATACATTTTAGGGACAGGAAAATTCATTCAAAGCTATGAAACTAGACTCTTTTGTATTTGATTTTCCAGAACCTAGCATAGTGTCTGTCATGTAGTAGGCACTTAATAAATGCTCATTAATCAATTGCTTGGTTCCATATTAGGCTTGAGAGGAAATCTTGTCGGGTGGCAACAGTTGGTACAATAGAAAGGGAAGTACTCGTGTATATACATATGGCCTGGAATAACGTTTTAGGGTAGAGAGTTATTAAAACAAAAAGGGGGTAGAGGTGGGAATGTAGTTGAGCAAAGGAAAGGAACGTCTAGAGCCAACCTAAGCAGTAATCTCCACCTTTAGCCCTGGCTCTTACAACTCCATATCTGAATCCTTGCATTCCCCTTCTAGCTTCTCACGAAAGTAGATCGCCATTCTCTCAGAGTGGCCTGGGACTAGCTGAGGGAGTTCCTGCTCTCACTACATTTAGGCAAGGGTGTTATGTGACCTTGGCAAACCAAGACTGTAAAGACATTTTCCCATGGGAACATTGTGGCACATAATGTTTAGATTCTATAATATTTGTGTTATAAGTTAATTTAACTTACAGGGATTGCACTGGAGACTTCATTATTGATAACGCTTCTTTGAGAAGATTGTTCCAGTTAAGCAACTTAAGAAAAGACCCTCTGGGACACAATATCCTAAGTTTGGTATTATTTATGTTTAAGGACCATGGATTTAGAGCTAAAACAGACTTCATTAAAGTCGTTAGGACCAAACTCCCCCCTCCCCCCCCAATCACCTCCCCTTTTATGGATGAGGAAATTGAGACCCAGTGAAGCTATTGGATTCTTGTGGTTACATGGGTAATAGGTGTCAGAGCCAGAATTCAAATCCAGGTTCAATGGGATAGCATTAGGAAAGTATTTTGACAAAAATCATGGTCATTTTTAGATACCATACTTGCTATATGGGGCAGCGTTTCTACCCAGGATTCTGTCAGTAAGATAAATATTTTCACCTTTTACCAGGAAAGTCAAGACCAGTGAATTGCCCAGCTTGTGCTTTTATATGGAACCATAATCTAGCAGTGTTACCCTGTCTCATCTCCTTATTGTCTTCTTTGTGGTTGGACACAAAACTGGTATTTGGAACCAGAAAGACAGCTCCCTCACAAATTACAAATGCATTCACCTCAAAGAAGAGAGGTGCATAGATATAGCTACACAAACATTTACATACTGATGTGCACACGTGTACTAAGCATCATATCACTGAGGAAAATGTGCCTGAATTCTTTACTTTTCCTACTTTACATGTAATATCAAGCTCAGAGTTGAGAATGATAAAACCAGCTGAACATCCGGTGAAAGAGTGTTGTCTTCCCAAGATAATTAAGGAAATTGTGGTTCGACACCATAGTACACTTTTTACCTCATCCAACTCTGGTGAATCTTTGATAATAAATTAGTAACTGAAGAATCTTTCAAATTATTCTCTATGTAGAAAGTGACTGAGACTGAAGATGATAGTGAGAGTGACAGTGATGATGATGAAGATGATGTTCACGTGACTATTGGTGATATTAAAACTGGAGCACCACAGTATGGGTGAGTTAACTTTCTTTTTTCTTTTTGGTGAGGCAAAAAGTTGAGTTGCCCATGATCCCACAACTAGTAAGTGTCACGTGTCTGAGGCTGGATTTGCACCCAGGTCCTCCTGCCTCCAAGGCCAGAGCTCTATCCACTGTGCCACCTAGCTCCCCCGTGAGTTAACTTTCAAAAGACTAAAATTTAAAAGCCTCGTGAGACGTAAAGTGTACATACCAAACCAAAGTAGTTGTTGGCTGAGTTCTTTTTCCATTTTTCTTCCATTCCTTAACCTAGGAAACTGAGTAAATGCTTTAAATTTTTTTTACTACGAAAAGTGTGACGTTGTTTTACTAAAGTTAAAGGTGGAAAATATTTGTTGAGCTAAATGGAAAGAGTTTCTTTTTCACAACAATGCAATGCAAAATGTTAAGTTTTTCTTTACACGTATATCATACCTAATATCAGCTGTTTCCATGAAAATGTTAAGTTAGGTAAAATGTCACATGGAGGCAGTTTCGTAGGGATAATGCTTATACACATGCCAATATGGTGTAATTGTAAGCGATTTTACATGGAGAGAAACTAATGCTATGGAGGATCATGTACTCTCTTGGATTGACCCCAGTCATCCAGTTTGCATCCTCAACAATTGGCTGAGTAAGATTACAATAAAGTTTGAAGGCATCGGTTAAGTTATAATATATTCAGGACAAAACAAACACTAATCAGGAATATGATGGTAGGGTATACTTGTATATCTCCTTTTACCACAGTTTCTTATTCATTGGCTTACCCAAACTAGAGTTCAGATTTAATTTTTTTTCTATCAACCAAAACGGTATCAAAAACTATTTCAGTGGGTTGGTATTAGTGTATATATTGTTGTCACCCCCCCCCCTTTTTATTTAGTATTCACAGTTTAAGGAAAAAACCTACATAATTAAATGTTTTACTATGTAAGTTATTCCATATTGCTGTATTGATTCATATCTTCTTTATATTGTTTGGTATGATTTATCTTTCATTATAGCACATAAAGTATAGTACATCTGTTCTGTCATTAAAAGAGAAATATATTGAATTAGAGATTTTGGTGTCTGCAGAGAAAATAAATTGTCTTTTATTTGCCAATTCTACCATGAAATTGTAGGCTTATAAGGACTTTGGGAATTTAACCAATATCTCCAGCTACTACACGTCAGACAAAGTTGCATTTAAACCATCCAAATATAAAAAAATGGTAAAGTGTAGTTTTTCAGCCTCATACAATAACATCCATGTAAGTCACGTCAGAAAAGTCTGCTTTATATCAAAATACCCTGCCCTTTATTTTAAGCCTGTTTTCTTCCATTTCTTTTGTCATCTATAGAAAACATCTCATTGTGTCTAATGATTTTAAGGCATTCTCAGATTGAATACTTCTATTTCCTTTTTGCTTTTCCTCATACATTTTTTCCAGATCTTTAATCATTCTGTTGGCTTTTCTCATCTTCTCTACTTAATTCTTTTCTTTCTCACATGGTTTACTCATGTACTAGATAACTTAACCTCAGTTTTACCAGTACTGAGAGGAAGACGTGTTAGTTTAGTGTGCTTTGTTCCTAGTAATTAACCCTGTTTTCTGATTTCAGTTGTAGAATTTATACCACAACACTTAACTTTTCTTAGCTATTTATCCTTTGTCTCATGTTTTGTATATAAAGAATCATTAAGCTTAATAGTCATTAAGCTGCCTTACTTAGACTCCTTAACTAAATTGTAATGTTATTCTAATTTCTAAAGTCATTTACTTTCCCAAAAGGTTTTTCAAGTATCTGTTTTAGAAGTAATCCTGTTCCTAGTACAACTTTTCTTATAGTAATGGCAGGTAGAAGTAATGTAATGATTGAAATGCACAAATAATCTCAGAAGCTTTTTGTGTGTGAATGGACATTGAAGTTCCCATTATACTCAACAAGCATTTATTAAGCTGCTGCTAAGTGCCAGAGAGACATATGCAATAAAAGGAACAATTCCTACTTGCAAGGGGCTATTGATAAAACTGATTTATGTCAGTTTTCTTCCATTTTTTAATGATAGATATTAATGGTGAAAGAAATATAGGCAACAAAAGAAGATTAATAGAGGAGAAACTAGGAATATGTATAAGCCATACGTTGGATAATGATTCTTCTAAGAACTGAAAAGAAAAAGTAGATTTCTTTGTCTTAAAAAACTTATTACAGGTCAGTTTTTTTTTCCTTGTCTTTATGGGTCCTTAATCCCACCTTTGTGAACATTTCTTCCACAGAACAGATTGCAAACCATCTGTACCTTCTGATTTCTGATTTTTTTTTTTTGCCCTCTCTTTCTATAAATCATTTATATCAATTCTATGCAATATACCAGAGATTCCCCCTCTCCCTTTTTTTTTCTTGAATATTTTGTGAATTTTTGTGGATAACAGTTTATATGCTTTTCATCTATATTTTTCACTATTTGACCAGCCCATCTGTCCTTTTCTGGTCATGTGGTGAATAATGTTTAACTTTAGTTAAATAAAGTCAGGAGGATCAAGGTTTGAATTGTGCCTCAAGAGAGCTGTGCAGCCCTGCAGAAGTCACTTAATATCAGTTTCTACATCTGTGAATTGGAGACAGAAATACCTGTATATCTATCAAAAGAGCATAGAGAAAACATCTTAGCAGATATCTGTCTTACTTGCCAAACAGAGAGGGATAGCTGACAAAAGCAGCACTAAGTTAGGATATATACATGTTTAAAAAATCTTACAAAATGTTATGGACAACTATGGAAGCAGTGGAGGTAAAGCTAGTTTAAAGAAAGCTTGTCAGGATATCCAGCTAAGCAAAATTATCCCAAGGGCATTTAAAGATTTAAATGGAAAGAAGACTACAAGCAGAAGAAAAACAATAACGGTTTTCTCTCTCAAGGCTGTCTTTAGAACCACAACACTCAGATCTTAGCATCATAATGCCAGATGTGTTTATAGAGAAATTAGAAATGGCTCTGAAGAAAACAGAAGCATTGTGATAGACCAAGTATGTATAGAGTAGACCCACATTGGAGATGGTATTATTATGAGGTGTTGAGAGACTGAAAGGTGACGTATGTGAAGGAGAATATGCCAAAGGCATCGAAAAATCTCAGACTGTAGTCTGAGATATATTGATATCGAATAGGTCACTCAGAAGATATTAAGAACTATCGATCGATCTTATATAAGTCACTTATTCATGAATCAAGAACATTTTTGATGAGGGCATTATGGAATAAGATATTTAGAAATGGCATTCAGCTGTAGACAGCACTATTACCATTTCACTCAGCTGAAAAATGTAGAGAAAATAAGATGTTACTGTATTTATTTGCAAAAAAGCATTAGACGCAGTAGAACAAAACTCTGACTTATGCTAGTTTATAAGAAGGTTTCTCCTTACCATACCATCAGAATCATTCAACATTCCTCAAAAGATGCAACAATATAAAAAATTCTGTCCAGTGATCCTCTGATTATTGAGACAAGGCAATATGTTTACCAAAGATGGTCACTACTGTGTTGGAAGAAGTCCAGCACTAAATCTGCTCAAAAAGGATTCCATGTGAATGGGGAGCTGTCCTCCAGATACTCTCATTTGTACTGATTTCTTTAGCCTCCAGAATTTTACAAAGCGTCCTGAGACTTGTAATCACTAAAACAAGTTTGGTCTTATCTGTCCACACACAAAAGACCAAGTGATGAAGAAGGTCTATTGCTCAGATTTCAGCATGCATTTGGGTGGACTTGCTATAGAGCTTCTCCAATAATATGAATACATCTGAGACCCGACAGTGTGGATGGACAACAAATTGACCTCAGAGTTGAACATGAGGAGGAAAGCAGACTAGATTGCTTTCAATAAGTTTTAAAGTTCCTTAATGACCCCTAAACTTTCCATGAAAACCAAGGCATAAGTTTTAAATACTAACATTCCTATCTGTAAAGCGAGAATAATAATAATGATAATCATAGCAGTTTCACAGGGTTATTATGAGGATCAAATAAGATCACATGTAAAAGTGCTTTGCAAATCTTAAAGCACCATATAAAGGCTATTATTATTATTATTATAACATATGCATCTGCCTCTGAAAGACTAAAATGAGTCATAGAGGAGAGTGGAGAGTTATATGAGGCAATGGTGTCACTCAAATAGAAATGGAATCCTATTGTCTACATATTGACTTAGAAAACCATCTATCAAGACTTACGTTTTATTGCATTTTTATTTATTTTGTTAAACATTTCCTAGTTCCATTTTTATTTGATTCAGGCTGCACTGGGGTGGGGGTGAAGGTGAGGGATGATGTGAGTTTGACACCTCTGGTACAGGAGATGTGAGTGGACTACAACATGGAAGGCATAAGTACCAAAGGAAAAAGACGTCATGAAGGAAGCACGTGATAAGAAGAGAGGATGTGGTGAGGGGTAATAGGTAGACATCCAGGTTCTTTCATTTAGTCCTCGTGCAATGTCATGAGAGAAAGAAGAAAGCTTCCTATACATCGTGTGGACCCCCAGCATCTTAACTTTTGGGGTGATATGCATGGTCAGGTGTTTATGGGTTATGAACTGTATGGTTGTAGTGAACTTATAAGTTAATGCATTCAGAGATCCTTTGGAGTAATTTCACAATCTCTGCCACATGAGAAAATAGAAACGGCACCAAACAAAATAAAAGATGGAACACAAGACACATAGAGAAGGTCTGTTCTGGAAGTTAACACCATTTCTAGGATATGGAGAAGATGAATTTCAAACTTCCTGGGGAAAAAAGGATGACAACAAACATTTGGAAAAAATCATAACCTTATAGTTACATTTCCCTTCCATCTCACCCCAAAAAAAGCAATTGAGGGACCCTTTTCAACTCTACAAAATCTATGTGAGAATAAGCATTTATAGAAGACATGCTCTCAATAGCATGAGTAGGAGGCAAGGTTTTCAAAACTATATCAGCCCACATCTTTTTTATAATCACATAGTTGAATGAAATAGTAAATCCTTATGTACTTGCTGTAAAAAAAACCATTTTATTCTACGGAGCAAAATGGCATCAAAGACCAGGTGCCTCTAATTCAAACATTAAAAATTATAGATGGTTCCTGAAAGGTTGTAACAATACAAATACCTTTGCTCAATCTTCTGACTGTTAATATCACACAAGATGTGATTTTATGTCTTGTTATGTTGAAGATGTATGCATAGTACATAATCTGTATCTAAAAGGGATTCTCTGTAGGTGGTGAGGTCCTCCATATGCTCATATTTACAAAGAACACTGTGCTTGATTGCTGTAATCCCCAGAACATTGCAAAATCTATTCGATGAAATCACTACTCAAACTAACAAATTTGAATAACTTTCCACAAAGGAAACAATTGAGTAATTTTTTTTTCAGATGTGCAGTTGCAGGACAATTGCTGGAGCTTGTCCAGTAGTACCTGTATCTTAAGCAGATACTATGGATAAACAAGGAACTGGGCCCAGAGTTGAATAAGAGGAAAAGTAGCCTCAGGGGCAGTTAAGAAACTACCTTATGTTTTAATGACCTCCAACCTTTTTTCCTCTGGAATTGTGATTGGTCATTTTGTTTGTTATTGTAATTATGTAAAATGTTTTCCTGGTTCTACTTGTTTCACTCTGTATCAGTTTGAATTAGTCTTCCTAGGTTTTTATGAAACTATCTATTTCATCACTTTTTTCCCTTTCATCATTTCTTTGGCACAATAATATTCTATTGCATTTGTATTCCATGATTTGTTCAGCCATTCCTCAATTGATGAACACCTCCTTTAGTTTTCAGTTCTTTGCCATTACAAAAAAAGCAGCTATAAATATTTTTGTACATATTTGATCCTTTATCTTTTTAATTTCTTTGGGCTATAGACCTGGTAGTGATATCACTGTGTCACAACTTAGTGAATTTTTAGACCTTTCCTTTGAAACAGAGGCCTATCTTTTTAAGCACATTTTTTTTTATTAAAAAGCACATTAATTTATTAATTTATTTTGATTTATCAACAGTCACTTCCATAAGCTTTTGAGTTTTAATTTTTTCTCCCTTTCCTTCCCCACCTCTCTCCTCAAGATGGTGTGCAATCTGATATAGGCTCTACATTCCTATTAAACATATTTTCACATTAGTCATGTTGTAAGGAAGAATTAGAACCAATAGGAGAAACCACAAGAAAGAGGAAACAAAACAAAACAGAAGAAAAAAAGCAAATAGTGTGCCTTGATCTGCATTCAAACTCCATAGTTCTTTTTTTGGATGTGGATAGCATTTTCCATCATGAGACCTTTGGAGATATCTTAGATCCTTGTATTGCTGGGAAGGGTTAAATTTATCAGTATTAGTCATTGCGCAACATGGCTGTTATTGCGTACAACATTCTCTTGGTTCTGCTCATTTCACTCAGCATCAGACCATACAAGTCTTTCCAGGTTTTTCTGAAGTCAGTCTGCTCGTCATTTCTTATAGCACCATAGTATTCCATTATATTTATATACCACAACTTGTTCAGCCATTCCCCAATTGATGGGCATCCTCTCAATTTCCAATTCTTTGCCACCACAAAAAGAACTGCTATGAATGTTTTTGTACACACGGGTCCTTTTCCCATTTGTATGATCTCTTTGGGATACAGCCCTAGAAATACTATTTCTGGGTCAAAGGGTATGCACATTTTTATAGTCCTTTGGGCATAGTTCCAAATTGCCTTCCAAAATGGTTAGATTATTTCACAACTCCACCAGCAATGATCAGTGTTCCAATTTTCCCACATCTTCTCCAGCATTTATCATTTTCTTGTTTTGTCATGTTGGCCATTCTGATAGGTGTGATGTGGTACCTCAGAGTTGTTTTAAATTGCATTTCTCTAATCAATAGTGATTTAGAGCATTTTTTCATATGACTATAGATGGATTTAATTTCTTCATCTGAGAACTGCCTGTTCATATCCTTTGACCATTTATTAATTGGGGAACGACCTGTATTCTTATAAAGTTGATTTGTCTTATAAATGAGACCCTTATCATAGACACTGGTTGTGAAAATTCATTCCTAGTTTTCTGCTTCCCTTCTAATTTTGGTTGCATTGACTTTGTGCAAAAACTTTTCAATTTAACATAATCAAAATTATCTGTTTTGCATTTCATAATGTACTGTATCTCCTGTTTGGTCATAAATTCTCTGTTCTCCATAAACCGGACAGGTAAACTATTCCTTGCTCTCTGAGTTTGTTTACAGTATCAGCCTTTATATCTAAATCATGAACCCATTTTGACTTTATTTTGTTATGTTGGTGTGAGATTTTGGTCTATGCCTAGTTTCTGCCATACTCTTTTCCAGTTTTTCCAGCAGTTTTTGTCAAATACTGAATTCTTATCCCAGAAGCTGGGGTCTTTGGGTTTATCAAATAGTTTGAGCACATTATTGATGATAGTCGTAGAATACCAAAGTCTTGAGTGACTTGCAACTTTTAAAGTCTCCATACTTAAAGTTTGTGTTCACCCAGAGGGAAATGGAGAGGTTCACAATTAAGTCTTTTTTATTACAAGCTGGGGTCAGATTTTTCCCATAGGAATACCTTGCCAAAATGAAGGAAGTTTGTAGGGAGACAAGTTTTGATAAAAGACCATTTCCTTTGGATTGAACTTATTTTTCTTTCCAGGATTACACCTAAAGAATAAAATGAGTTTAATCTGTAATGTTAAACTTAACATGTTTGATGAAATCACAAAATACTTGCCATAGGAAGAAAATAAAATGCATAACAGAAAAGTAATTTTACAGATTTTTTTTTTCTTCAAAATAAAAATAATACACAATTAGGCAAGCTCATCTTAAGGTAGGATTCCACCTACTGTTGACCATGTTGTTTATTTTTGTACTTAAACCTAGGGTTTTGAATCTTTAAATAAACGCATCTTTTTAATGTAAATTTATCTTGATGAGCGCACAATAATTCATTCAGATTATGTATGTGTTTATCTGTATGTAGTTTATCTGAGTGCATTGGAGTTTTTACTGACTTACTACATTGATTAAACTTTTTGATGTAATTTTTGCTTTTAGGAGCTATGGTACAGCACCTGTAAATCTTAATATCAAGACAGGAGGAAGAGTTTATGGAGCTGCAGGTAAAATTTGCATATTGGCATGAGTAGAAATTAATGGAAATATTGGTAAAAGTAATAATTCAGGAGAAGTTAAAAATCAAGTGTTAGACATACAAATGAGTTAGGAACTTTATTTACTAAAGCCTGCCATTAAACTTTTTATGTGACATTTCCAGTAAATTGTATTTGTTCTGACTTATGCAATAAATTGGCAAAACCTCAATATGTATTTTGTACAAATATCTTCTTATATAATGATACTCAGGTATTTAGTCTGCCATGCCACCAAAGTATACCCATGGAGGACATCCTCCATGATGGTGGCAATATGATTTGCCATTATATGTCTCCTTGTTTTATACTTCACTTGACAATTATCAGAGGGCTAACAAAGTTATTTTTATTTTTATAATTATCAAGAAATCATATTCGATTTTGACATGAGACAACTGTTGGAGTTGGACCTTTGAGGAAGCATTTTGCTGTATAGTAGGGGCTGCTAAATTCTGGCCTTCACCACCTGTTGTTTTATGACTGGCAAGCAAACATCAAGAATGTTTTTTACATTTTAAAATTTTTCACAGTGTTTAAAAATTTAACAACCATTTTTAGTTATAGGAACAGGCTTCAAGCCTTGACCCTCAGGTGAGTCCATATTTGCCAACCTATTCTCTGTAGAATCTGATTTTTAGTAATCAGTTGACAAATAAGTACAGGGGGATGTTAAATTCTCTACAGTTTTCATTCAGTTGAATGATAATTTGCTATTGGAAAAACCGTAGCCACTTCAGGGTGTGCTTAGATTTTTCTTATATTTTATAGAAATGGGAAAGTAGTTATCTTCACTTGTGATTACTGAAATTCTGTCTTGCTGTGTATGCATATATGCTTATGTGTGTGCTTGTATAAAGTCCAGAATTTTCCCCACATCTTTGTTATCCTTTCTGTTTGCACATACCTTGATGCTTAACCCTTCAATGCTCTCTCTCCCCCCCCTACCATTTCTGTCCCATTTACCATGGATCTCCGTGTATACATTTTTATGGATCATGACCAGGTGCTTTTCTTCTCTCTTTTTCATCTCTACTAGCAACAGATCAAGGGAAGTAATATTAGGGTCCAAATGTTATAGCTTCACTGTCTTTGATCATGAAACAGTTTGTTAGAGTAATTTTGTTTGATCTTCACAATTTTTTGACTGTCCATCTTCCAATTTCATCCTTGAAAACCTTAGGAATGACTTATTAGTTGGGTCTGTTGCCAAACTTTCTACTAGTTTTACTTTCTACTGCTTCTCAGTTTATATTTAAAACCCATAATGATCTTAGTTGCTGTATCTCTACTTGACAAGAAGATTAAGTATATGCTGAGGTGGTTTCTAAGTTCCTTTGGTTTCCTCTGGACAGTCGATTTACCTGAGTAAATAGTCTTCAGAAAATTGTTATAATCTGTGTTGATACCTCTTATTCCAGCTCCTTCTAATTTTTTTTGGCACTGATGACTTGTTTAGGTCAGGTTAAAATTGTTTCATTTGAATGACAGTGCATCTTTTTTTTCTCCCCTCGCATTTAGTCTTCCAGATTTTTTTCCCCCCCAAATCTTTATGCTAACAATGTACACGTGTGTGTTATGTGGCACTCACCATATCCATTGTTTGCTTATGCTTTTCTTGAATTAAGTTTTCATGTTTGACTAACATAAAGCCGTTTTTGTACTCATTTGTCCTCTCTTATTTTACTTGTGAATTATATTTTCCAACTTCTTTTGTCCACCTTTTCATTGAAGACAATCGGTATCAATATGTTTAATTAATTGGAAAGATATTATTGAGTCCTTAATAGAATTTCTATAACCTTTTTCCTTGGCACATAATATACGATCATATTAATGATAATATTTTTTACAAATCAGTATTTTAAGCTTTGTGTTTCAAAATGAACAAATAGCCCATGAAACATTTCTGGTGGCCTTGAAATAAAGATTCACTCCTTTATTTGCATGTCCAGGGAGAACATGTAGCCATCCTTCTGTATAGCTATAAGTTTAACTTGCTTTTGTTTTCGAGTTACAGTTTTACTGCGAATATCTAATTTGATCCAATTCAGTTCTGTTAGTAGTGTGTCCACTTGCTGGTCATTGACTGAGGATCTCTCATTTAGAGTACCAATAGCTGAGCTGATATTTATAAGTAGTCTAAGGCTGATCATTTTAGTGCTCTCAGTGCCCTTTTCCTGTTCTGCCCCATCACCACAGGACAGATGCCAAGTGGCTTCACCCAGGACTTTGCATAGTTTCATCGTTTTGTTGAATTGTTTCATGGATTTCCATAGCTAAAGAAGTCATTAGGCTTCTGGGAGATGAGACTCCTTATGTTTAACTCTTTAGTTCTTGGAGACTAGACACAATTTATTGATGGAACTGAACTCAAAGCCTTTCCAGCATGGAAGACTGCTAGAGCTTGCTTTCTACTGTTATATCCTTTGACAACCTAGGATCTTCTTGCTGTGCTAAGGCATGGGATTAGAACTTGTGACTGTTATTTAATTTGCATACTTGTTAACTTTTCTTTTCCTGGATGCTTTTTTTTTTTTTGAGGAAGGGAAATTTATGTTATTAACATTTATGTCATTTGAAATTGGTTCCCATTTTTCTCATCTGTAATTTTTTTTAAACTTTATTTTTTTAAATTAATTTATTTTGATTTATCAACAATCACTTCCATATGCTTTTGAGTTTAAAATTTTTCTCCCCCGTCCTTCCCACCACCCTCTCCAAGAAGGTACACAGTCTGATATAGGCTATACATATATATTCCTATTAAACATATTTCCACATTAGTGATGTTGTAAGAATTAGAACCAATAGGAGGAACCACCAGAAAGAGGAAATAAAACTCAACAAAAGAAAAAAAAATAGCAAGTAGTATGCTTTGATCTGCATTCAAACTCCATACTTATTTCTTTGGATGTGGATAGCATTTTCCATCATGAGGTCTTTGGAGATGTGTTAGATCCTTGTATTGCTGGGAAGGGTTAAATTTATCAATATTAGTCATCGTGCAACGTGGCTGTATTGTGTGCAACATTCTCTTGGTTCTGCTCATTTCACTCAGCATCAGACCATACAAGTCTTTGCAGGTTTTTCTGAAGTCAGCCTGCTCATCATTTCTTACAGCACAATAGTATTCCATTACATTCATATACCGCAACTTGTTCAGCCATTCACCAATTGATGGGCATCCTCTCAATTTCCAATTCTTTGCCACCACAAAAAGAACTGCTATAAATATTTTTGTATACACGGGTCCTTTTCCCATTTGTATGATCTCTTTGGGATACAGCTCTAGAAGTGCTATTGCTGTGTCAAAAGGGTATGCACCTTTTTATAGTCCTTTGGGCATAGTTCCAAATTGCTTTCCAAAATGGTTAGATTATTTCACAACTCCACCAGCAATGCATTAATGTTCCAATTTTCCCACATCTTCTCCAATATTTGTCATTTTGTTGTTTTGTCATGTTGGCCAATCTGATGGGTATGATGTGGTACCTCAGAGTTGTTTTGATTTGCATTTCTCTACTACTACTGATCAGTAGTGATTTAGAGCATTTTTTCATATGGCTATAGATGGCTATAATTTCTTCATCTTCATTTTCATCTGTAATTGAAGGGTTTGGACTCAACCTCTGGGATGCCATGAGCTCTTAACTTCTCAGTCAAATCTCATTTTATTGTAAATTTTCAGTTTCTTCTTCTGTTCTTTCTGTGCTGCCCCCTCCCCTGGCTAACAGGATAAAATATAAACTTCTTATCCTGGCATTTTCTGAATCCATCCTCTCTTTCCAGTTTTATTTCATGGTACTACGCTTTGTAAATGTTTTATTGAACAAATTAAATTCAGGGACCAAACAAAAGCACTGTAAATTGGTATTTAGTTGAGAGAGGGCTGCCTTGGATACATACTGGTTGTGTGATCATGCATAAGTCATAACCTTGTATTTCCCACTCTTAAAACTGTAGGTTATTGGCTAGTTGCCATTCAGGATCAGCAGAGGGAATCCTTACATATACTGATAAAAGCACAGATCCAGGTCAGAATCAAAAATCTTTGTATAGCAAATACCTTCTTAATTCATTTTAATCCTATAAATATTTCTAGATTTTCCCTTGACAAATAAGCAAACACATAAATAAAGGGAGCTACTACTAGTCGTTTCTTTGTTTTCTCACATACAAATCTGAATTTTTTTTTTACCTCACTTGTTCCTCCTTAGCATAAACTAGCTAGGAATGTAACATATATGGCATATGGATTGATTACTTTTTGTTTACATTGCTAAGTAGCTGTTATGTAATTTTTTCTAATAGGGACAAAAGTGAAAGGTGTAGACCTTGATGCACCTGGAAGCATTAATGGAGTTCCACTGTTGGAAGTAGATTTGGATTCGTTTGAAGATAAACCATGGCGGAAACCAGGTAATACTACTTATTTGTACTGCAGTACAAAGTGTTTGGAATAGAGCAGGCATTTGTTTAGTAATGCTTACTGAATGAATCACAGTAAATGTCAGGTATTTTAGATTTTGTTTCTTTTCCTAGTGAAATTTTAATTCAAACAGTTTTGTGTTAGTTGGTTCATTTTTATTTTTTCTTCAGTAATGTCTCAGAAATTAAATCTGGGCACTGTATTTGAATATACTTAGTTCTAATTATATAATGATGACATTTCTCAAATATAGGTAATTAAATGCTATCTGAGATAGAATTATCTTAAAAAAGAGAGTATGATTTTAGTGAACTGGAAATATTAATTGCTATAGAAAGGGAATGTCTATATATGTGTGTATATATATATGTGTGTGTGTGTGTATATATATATGTATATATATGTATATATAAACACACAGAGTGTATAAACACATTTGTTTTCCACTAATATACTAACACTGGAAAAAAAAATATAGCAAGTGTTCAGAATTAGTGTAGCTTCAACATAGTCAGTGATTTTCACAGTTTATTTTGTGTTACTTTGCTGTATAAAAGTAATTAAAACTGGAGAGAACCAGAAGGTACTTGTGCATTAAAAGGTGTCTTTAATTTATAGGTGCTGATCTCTCTGATTACTTTAATTATGGTTTTAATGAAGATACATGGAAAGCTTACTGTGAAAAACAAAAGAGAATACGAATGGGACTTGAATTAATACCAAATAAAATTACGGTAATTAGTAAATATTGTATTCCTCTTTTTTCCCTGCCCATTACCCCAGTCACTTTTCCCTGTTTAAAGGTGGATAACTGCAATATTCTGCAGTTTAGAATGCCATTCTTTCTCCTTTGTTAATAAATTTGTTCTTTTTCCCTTCCCTTCCAGAGTTTCTCAGTAATGTTTCTCAATATTGTTCTTACTTTCATGTGACAGACTAGCTACAACTAGTAGCTAATTCAAAATTGTGTGGTATCTTAATGGGGAATATGTTATTTAACTTAGGCCGAAGACTATACTATGGAAGTTACACCAGGTGCAGAGATCCAAGATGGCAGATACAATCTTTTTAAGGTGAATTTTAGTAAATTATCCTTGGTTGCTCTCATTTTTGTTCTTGAGTATGCTTCCCGTACCACTACTTATAGTGACAAGATTGAAGTGGAAGTAGCTACTTTTTTTCAAACTCTCAGCTTCCTGGTGACTTACAAATTTGCTGAATTGTTTTGTCTCCACTGCTGCAAGCATGTGAGTTATTAGTAGCCTACCATACTAACAAATGCCAGGTGAAACTGTTTGTACTTTGTTACCTTATTTTAAATTACATTGTTTTAGAATATTAAAATTATGTGCCAACCTGCGAGGCAAATGCTATATATATGTATGTGTATATATATATATGTTTATATCGGTCATGGCATTATCTTTTAATAGTGAAGTTGGACTATTTCATTTTTTGCACTTCTTACATGTACTCTTAAGGAAGATAGAGCTTATCTATTTTCATTTGATACTTATTTTATTGATGAAAAACCTTTTTATAATTTAGTCTAATGAAAACATACTAGCCATCCATTGAATGTCCAGTGCTCAGTGGAGTGGCGTAAAGCATTGTAGTTTTTTGTCTTTTATGAACTACTTAAAAGTAGGTTTGTATAAAGCTCACCAAAATTGGCCCAGGCCTTGCCCTCAATCTGATTAGAAGGAATAATAGTACAGTTACATCTCTCCCTCTTACCCCAACTGAGTTCTGACACTCCTGTCCACCTTTGCATATGCACACATACATACTTGATAGTAGATTCAAGAAATAGTTATTGTGCTTTTAGTATACGTGCATTTCTTCTCTTTTTTGAGACCTGGTCTTCATGGAGACTGGCGTTGGAGAAAAGGTTCAAAGTAGTTACTGTGTTGATAGATGTACTCTGGTACCTTCTATGGACCGGATGTGAAGTTTTATACCCACTCCTGGATTGTAATCCTCCCCTAAAATTACTGTCTTGTACAAATGCATGAATAATTTCTCTAGGGGTGTCAGCTCTACTGGAACTCAGTACTCTTAATGCTGAATTTAATTTCAGTTTACTTTTTGCATGTGGTAAGTATCTGGTCTTTGCTGCAGATATTTTTATTGTAGTAGATTATTTCTCATATTCTGAATTTATCAGGGTTTTTTGGATGCTTTCTTAACTGGATCCACCTCTTCACGTAGCTGAATATTTTTTATCTGATCAGTGATCAGTTAAAATGGAAGGATTGTTTTAATGATGAAAAACAAATCTCTTAGAGTTTTTTTTCCCCATTCTTCTTTTCTGTGCCCCAAATGAAAACTCTTTTTCTAAACAACTGCTTCTGTATGCTTTACTTCCCTTTCTTCCACAGTGGACTGTTCTAAGCCAGGAGAGACAGAAAATGAAAGGGGCTTGGTTTCCCATTATGGGCAGCCGTAAGAGTGAGTTATATATGGGAGGTACTATTGTAGAAATTAGTCTAAAATTGCTTTCATACTCAAAGAAATCTCTGAGTGCTTCATTCTGCGTCTGGTATCTTGAATGAACTAAGATTTAAAATTTCGATGTGTTATCTGGTGGCTTATCTGGCAGGACAATAATATCTCCAGCTCATGTGTTGATCTAACGGAGAGTTTAATTTTGGAATTAATATTCTTTACATAACGAGTTTGTTTTATAAATATCTTGGAATGTTATTTTTTTCAGGGTCTAGATAAAATTTTGCTAATTGGCAATTTTTTTATTGTAACAAAAAGATTTTTGACATCTTTAATCTTATTATTAATTAAATTTGTATATTAATAAATATACAATAATAATTACTTAACATAAAATCCCTTCATTTTCATATCACTGCCTACAGGTGTGACTAGGTGTTTTTTATCGAACATTATATAGAATTTACCATGTAGCTATCCATTATGGTAGATCTTATGAAGAGCATAATAGAATTGTAACTTATGGTCTCAGCCCTTAGAGAATTTGTTATCTAGTTTAATTCAACAAACATTTGTCTACTACTTGTATGCAGAGCACTGTTAGGTTCTGAGGAAAATCAAAAGTTTAATAATAGATGGTTCCTGCCCTGGAGCTCAGTTTCCAGAAGTACATCAAGCACAAAAGTAACTGTCATGTATATTAGAATATAAGTAGGGGAAATACATTGGGTTCAGCATTTTGGGGAACAAGTGACTTCCATCTGGAATAATCAGAGACCTTCTCCCTCCTGGGTTCAGCCGACTGTTAAATAGAAGCCACAGAGGTAAGAAAGCATGGGGAAAGTTCAGGAAGAGTGAGTAGTCTGATCTACCTGAAATGGGGATTTTGTGAAGAATAGTAATTTGAGGTATAGAAGAGGCTAAGATCATAAGAATTGTAGTTAGAAGGGACCCTAGAGATTATCTTGTTCAACCCCTTCATTTTACAGGTAAAGAATTGAGGCCTAGCAAGGCTGTGATTTATACAGGCACTTAGGTAGTAAGAAGCAGAGCCAGGAATTGTAACCAGGTCCTTTGATCCAGATTCCAAGGAGAAGCAGAGTTATTCAGTTGAAAGTGCACATAATTTAGAATTAAAGGACGTGTGTTCATTTCTCAGCTCAGTTGTTTACGACTTTTGTGTCCTTAGGCAAGTCATGAACTCTCTGGGCCTGAGGTTTCTTATCTGAATAGTGAAATGTTTGGACTTTGCTCACAACTGAGGGGAATTGGAGCATGCTTAACGTTTGATTTTATCTGCAGATACAGACATGTTCCCTGGTAGCCCTGCCTCCAAGCCCATATCCTTTTCTCGGGCTTGAGAACATTCTTCCTGTCCTTGCCCTTCCTCATCTCTTCACCTTTTGCTTTCTTCACTTCCTACCATTTAGCCTCCCTTAGTGCCTCTAGGGATAGAGGTGCAGTTGTAACCCTTCAAATTACCGAGCCTGGAAGGAGCTGGCAGCAAATTGCAGCTGAGGAGTAGGGAGAGGGGTGTGAAAGTCTTGGGGTGCGGGGAGGGAGTATGCCCAGGGTTGAGATGACCACTTGGCAGCAGCACACCTAGAGAAGCAGGGCACGTCCTTTGAAAACAACTGAACTACATGGCCTCTGAAGTCTCTGCCAGCTCGAAATCAGTTTGATTCTATAAATTTAGTATTCTTTCTGCAATAGCACATTGGAATGGCACTTGAATTTTGACCTTTATTTGGGAGGCAGAGGAGGAGCCTTTGGATTTCTTTGAGTAGGGGACATAAAGTGATACATGCAATATATTGAAAAAAAAGAATGGAAGCAAAGAGACTGATTCAGAATTCATTGCAGTAATTCATGTGAGAAGTAATGAGAACCTGAACTAGGATGCTAGTATTGGCAACGAAAACATAGAGGAATATTGCAAAGGAGTATTTGATGGGATTGAATGTGGCAGAGAGGAAGCAGTTATTGATAAATACATGTCTGTACTATCCATTAGCAACGAGTAGAGCAGCTTTTGCAGGGAGAGAGAGCTGAATGATCTCAATTCAAGTAAAAGTTAAGTTCGAAGTGCCGGTGAAAGACTTTTAGAAAGTTAGAACTTGAAAGCTCAGGGAAGAGTGGGTGAGGATAGAAATTAAACCCTGGACAGTTTAAGGGATGGGAGGAAGAAGAATAACTAACAAAAGGTGACACAGAAAGAACCAACAGAGAGAGCTTGAAGAAGAGGGCAGTGTCACAGAAGCTTAAGGATGAGCAAATTACAAAAAATGAATGTCAAATGTAGCAGAAAATCAGTGAGAATCGGATTTGCGGAAAAGGAATTAAATAGCATTTAGGAATTTCTTAATCTTAGAAAAATTATTGTTAGTAAAGTAATGGGTGGATGTCAGAGTTCGTGATGTGGAGAAATGAGTGAATTGTGAGAAGCAACAGTTAAAAGACTGCTCTTGAAAACTGGAAAGGCTGTAACAGAAGGGAAAAGATGCTCAAGATGAGTAGCTGGGTTCTTTTTTGAATATAAAGAACTGAGTGTGTGTAAAATAAAGAGGAAGTAGCCACTGGAGGAGGAAAGATAGGAAATGTGAGAAAAGGGGGAGATAATTAATGGGGCAAGATCACTAAAGAAGCATGAGGAGATTGGATCCCGTGCTCCAGATAAAATAGATTTATTTATTTTTAATTTTCAACATTCACTTTTATGAGATTTTTGAGTTCCGGTTTTCCTCCTCCCTCCCCAAGACGGCATGCAATCTGATATAGGCTATGCATGTACAATAATATTAAACATATTTCCACCTTAGTCATGTTGTGAAAGAAGAATCAAAACAAAAGGGGAAAACCACAAGAAAAGAAAAAAAAAGAAAATAGTATGCTTCGATCTGGATTCAGATTCCATAGTTCTTTCTCTGGATGGATGAAATGTTAATCTTTGGAAAGAGGTAGGACATTTCTCCCCCTGACAGGGAAAAGAAAAAGCTTATGGGTAAAAATACATAGCTATTTGAGGATAGCTTAGGGGGCTTGCATCTCCTTCAAGTAGAAATCATAGACTGAATTAGAAGAAATCTTAAAATCTCTAATGCAATACATAGTGATCTAGCCTCCCCCTGAACATGTCCAGTGCCAGAGAATTGATGAGAAAGAAGCAGAGTTGGGGGACAGAAGGAAGGGGTTTTTTTGGTGAATGAAAAAGTTAGGAAATAGACATATGTAAAACAGTGATCTCCAAAGTGAGTTAGGCATTAATCCCCTCAAGACAGTTAAACCCTTACTGTAATAGTAATAGTGTCATTAGGAAAAGCGCTCCCAACCTCCAACACATCAGCCAGGAAAAAATGATGTCGATAGGAGTACTCAGTCAAAAAAAAATTTTGGAGGCCACTGCTATGTAATAGCAAGTCCACTAAAAATGCATAAAATTTAGAGCTCTCAGTCATCACTGAGGAGTTTGCCAAGTTTGAGGAGCATGAATTTGTAGAAGTGCAAATGTGTAACTTGGACTTTCTGCAGCTACACTTGGCAGGCTGTGAGAAGGAAAAGAGGAAGCAGTGAGTGTGAATGTAGGCTGTCAGGTTCTCCAGAGCCGTATTGATGTAGTAGGACTAAAACGAGGCAAAATACACTGAATAATGATGCATCCAATGAGAGACTGACTTCCTGGCTCTTGCATGGCATACTTTTAATTTGTCTCCAAATCACATTGACTGTTTTATAATGGCACATGGTGCTTTCTTACTCATTTTTCTTCATAATCACCATCTCGGGTGTTTTTTCTTATTTTTACCTGTCTAGTTTTGTTTTCTTTTTACCTATAGTGTGCTTTAGATTCATCAGTGTACTACTTAGCATTTGCTTATAACTTCTTCTTGATGTGAAATAATTTTCCTTACTTATCACAGGGATTAAGTACTCTCTCTACCTTTTTCACAATCTTAGTAACCCTATCTAACTTTATGAAATTTGTCATTTTTATGAGCCAGAATTGTCATTTAGAAGATTGTGGGTGCCCAATTAAACAATAAGAAACTTAACTCTGTACTCATGCAGTCCCTCTGGGACTCTTGAAATGCACCTATCCCTCCCTTCAGCCTGACTGTGTCGTTGGGAACTACTTTTATGGGAAAATGTCAAAATCTTTTGTGAATACATTAACCTTCTTTGCTCATTAATTCAAAATTTGCCTGGGGTGTAGTCAACAACAGGCCTTGTTTGCCCGTGCTGCTTATGACTCACATTTATGTAGTTAAAGTGACTGCCCCCTGCAGTGGAGGGTGCAGTTTCCCTCCCCCTGGCCTTCCCCTCTCCCATTTTGTAAAGGAGCAAGCAGGTGTAGGAGGGTGAGATGACTCCCTCCCCTTCGGGGTCACACAGCTGGTAAGTGTCAGAAGCAGGATTTGAATCCATGTCTCCAGACTCCTTAGTCCTCTTTCTGCAATATCACTTTGCCTTGTGCTGTCTTCAGACGCCATACATTTAGCTTGTACTTAATATTGATTGAAAATAATCACTTATGGAGTTTTGAATCTTGGAAGAAACAGCACAGCAAACCAAACAAATGGCAGGTGTTAAATGCTGGTCATCTTTATTAAGAGTGTTCATTAGAATTATGTTGAGTAAAATTGACACTGACTTTAGTAGATTTACTGAATGTCTTTTATGTGCAAGATACTGTTAGATGCATACACCCAACATAGGTACATAGGGATACCAAAGAAGCATAAAAGGTAGTCCTGCCTTCAATCTAGTGGGGAAGCATGATATAATAAGTATGTGAAAACTTATCCCAAAACAAAAGATTTAAATAAAATCTAAAACAGTAATAGTGGAGGTAGTCCTAGGACTTTGGAAATTGGAAGATACGTTAAAGATCACTCAGTCTTAACTCCTTTGTCTTAGAGGTGAGAAAACAAAGGCCCAGAGACATTGTTACTTGCTCAGACCAGAAAGCTAATTAGTGGCAGCATTGAGACTAGCATCCTAAAAGTCATAAGGTATGGTGAAAACTTTAATGCCTATTCCAACAGTCATCAAAAACATTGAATTCTAGGAAGATTGGGTCACTGGTCCTAAAGAAAAATGCTTCCATGTCGCTTGTATAAACTTCAAAGAGTAGTAGCCCTTTCTGACAACTATAGGCAGTCAAACATGTATACCCATAAATCATATACGCATATAAAAGAGTATAAAAATGTAGAAAGAAATCTACAGAAAGCTAAGCAGAGTTTACTTCCAGCTGATAGGATATGTGAAAGCTTCATAGATTTGATGGTATTTAAGCTGGCTTGAAGAAAGTCTGGGAATTGAGTAAGGCAGAATTGAGAGAGGAAGATTGTAGGACGGAACAGTGTAAGCAAAATCAAAATAATGGAAGTTGGAAAACATTAAGTCCTTTTTAGGCAGTAGTGAGCAATCCAGCTTGCCTGGAGCAGTGTCTGAAATGGTGTTACAAAATGAAATTTAGATTGAATCACTTCATAATTAGACCCTTGAATCCAGAATTCTAAGGATTTTATATTTCAAGAAGCTATTGTAATAGTTCAGGCAATTAGTAATAAGGATGTGAAATAGGGGATGGACAGTGGGAATGGAAAGGAAAGGTAGGAATAGCGATTTAGTAACCTGAATTGGAGTGGAGGGGGCAAATTTAAAAAAAAGAAATCAAAGGTTCTCTAAGCTTTGGAGCTGAAGCAATCAAGTGGATAATGGTGCTATTAATAGAAAAATATACAAGATGGAGGGAGGGGTGCTTGAAATTATACTTTTTGTTTTGAATCTTTTTGGGTTGTAAGTGTTGACAGAAAATCCACAGATCATGTGGAAAATTTTTATATGGTCTGTGAATTGTTCAAGTTACCTAAATTTGTAATACACCCCACAAGGTCCAGAGTAGTGAGAAGAGGACCAGTTCTTTCTGTAATTCTGGTTATGTCAAGGAGAGAGATGATCTAGAAGTCTTCCTCTATGTTTCCCAATTGTGGAGGATAAGTTATATTTACTCTGTTGTACTCAACCCCAATTTTTAAAAATACTTAGTTGGAAGATCCCAATGAGATTTGTTTAGCTATTAGGTTGAAAAAAATTGTTGATGTAGGCAAAACATATTGATATTCAAATTGGTTGGATATCATCCACTCTTTATACTAGTGTTTTTATACTAGTATAATAGTGACTTGATGCTCAGAAAACCTCAGAATTTTGATATATTAGATAAAGGGAAAAGTTTGCTTTTAGTAATGCTAAAATTCTGATTTGCCAATTCTGATGGTTGGTCACGTCATTTGTTTTTTAAGTTTTCTTGAGGTTTTCTGATTATTTTTCAATTCAGTAAGTGAGCATTTCTGAAAGTAATTTTTTGTTTTGTGTGGTTTCTGTATGCTTTAATATATCATTTAAAACAAACAAAGAACTCTTAATGCCTATGGAACACTTGATATCCCACAAATTATTTTTTATATCCTTCATCCTGCTTTGAAATGTTTCATTTTATTAGATATTCATTAACATTTCCGATATAATAGATGTTAAATGAAATTATAATTAAACTTGAAGAGCTAATAAGGAAACATTATTTTGAAGGTACAGCAGGGCAGAACTGGAAATGCAGAGAAGGAAACAGTGCTACAGTCTGCCAAAGCTGAGTTTACATCTCCTCCTTCTCTATTCAAAACAGGACTTCCTCCAAGCAGGTTAGTTGAACATTTGTAATCAGCAAATTCATCTTAAAGCATCAATAACTTTTATGTTGTGATAATGATATGTGAAATGTAGGGAAAGGCAAATGTTCCATAAACAGAAGTAATATCTGATTTGGCTTAACTACCAAACATAATGCAATATGAAAGATTCTTCCAGTATTATTGTCCTTTTGGTGTATATAATAAATGAAGTAAAACTGGACAGAAGTAAAATGTGAGGGTGGGGTGGAGTGGTCTTGTCATTTCCATTTTTTATTGATCATTTTTCCACAAAGAATTATGTTGACTATGAAGCCTGTGGACTAAATGATTTCTTAATACTAACAATGTAATTTGTGGAGAGTACATATTAAGAAGTCTTCCAAAGTAAAATAGGATTTTCATATTTCTGGTTTGGCTTAATACAGGTTTTCCACCAACTACCAGTTATAATGGGACAGATATCTGGATGATAGTTTTCTTAACATAAACTAATAAATGGCTTATCTGGAGGCCAGTCTGATTATAGTGCAAGATCTAAGATAGCATTCCCCGATTGAAAGTAATTTAGGAATTCTTTCTGTTCTGTGTTAAATCCTGGAAAGTTTTTTTGGGAGGTCATCTTATAGGTATTTTACCTGTTCTTGGGTTGGTCCAGAATGACCCAGATCAAAAATATATTCTAGTCTATTTTTGAAACTTTAAAGTACTTTAAGGTCTTGTCTGTATTTGATTCTGTAATATGATATTTAACCATTACATTGCAGATTAAGTATTTTGTTAAAATAGAATTGTAAAGAACCTCAAAGTCATCTCATTTAGCACCCTGTATCTAGGTAAATATCTAAGCCATGCAGAACAGATGACTGTTGTTAAAGATAGGAATGGAACTTATCATGGTCATCAAAATTAGACATATTATTCCTTTAAAAAGTTTGACAGATACAGTGGCTAGCAAAAGAGTTACTACCTTGTATTTTAATATCTTAGACTCGGAATACAAGCATTGGCTTAACTTTCCCACCCTCAAAAATACTATTTTTAATGATTCTCTTAGCATATAATGGTCAAATCAGTTTGTATAGTGAAAATACCGTAATATATTTTTCAATTTAGTTTTACTATGATTCTTACTAACTTTTTAAATTAACTTATTTTTAAAATGTTACTCTATTTAAAAAGCAAGAAAGATATTCTTTTGAGAATCAGCATAAATGTTTAATAGATCAAATTCATATTAAATTGTATTTGTTAAAATAATTAACTTAAATCAACTTTTAGTTTGTAATATTCATATATAATTCATATTGATATATTCATATATAATTACGCAGTGTTCAGCATGTCACAGCAATGTATGCTCAGAATATAAAATGTATGACTTAAAATATTTAGTTTTTCATAAAACATACAGTATATTAAAATATAATCTTGCCTTGCTTTGATACATCTGGATTGAATTTTATGCCGTTTTAAGTTAACTAATTGATCTTGTCCTCAGTACCATCATGCTTTAATCAAAAGTTTAATTTCCTTTTGGGTCATCCTGCTTTACTGAGTTCTCTAGGCCCAGAACACTAATTCTCCTACCCTTGTTAACTTTGGTCACAACAGTGCTAAAGCTAACAAAGATGGATAGCTCAAATACGACTCAGTCATCATTTCTAGAAAATGTATACTCTACTGTCAGTACGTTAGTAGTATCATCTTTGTGTATAAAGAATAACGCCCATTTGACATTAGGACTTCATAGAGTTGCTTTTCACTTGATTGAAGCCAAAATGAGGGTGGAGAGGAGACCTTTTGAATCAATGTGAGTCACTACTGTCAATACCAAACTCTTTATGTGGAACTGAAATGCTAAAAGAATAGAAATTAAATACATAAGACTAGATTACAGAAATCTAGAAATTAGATTTGCATGCCTCATATTGTCATATAGAACATTGTTCCAGGAATCACTATGCTAACATTCTTATCACTGAAAATTTTATTGTGTTCTCAGTCCACATATTATCTGTGTTCTGCAAACAGCAGGTTTTTATATGGCATTATTTCTTAAGACAAAGCTAAAGGTTTTATTACTGAAAATACTATATTCTTGATCTTATGTTTATAGAAGAAACAAGGCCAAGCCAAAATGTTGTGTTCAATACATGTATAGATCAGAATGTTTTGCCACATTTATCTTCAAAAGTTTTGTAAATTATTGGATAGAACCTTTTTATCCTATAGTAATACTTGAAAAGAATAGCAAAAAGATAAATAGCTGAACTTTGCAAAAGAATAAATAGCTGAACCTCATATGTTGTATATAATCATAGGTGATATTAACTTTTCTTTATAAGTAGCTTTCTTAAAATGTACTTTGAAAGGATTAAAGTTATTTTATATAAGGAGTACTAGTATATCATGAAGTATTATTGGCATAGTATTTTAATGATTGGTTTCATTAAAATCCCTTAATTCCTTTGAATGAAAAGTAAGGTGAAAGAATATAAAGTTAGTACAATTTTATGAGCCCACAAAAATTAAAGTAATGTTATTTATATACAAAAGCAGGACATTTGTTCATAACATCCTTTCTGTTCATACTTTGTAATCTGAAGTGAGGTTTGGGTCATACTTTTCTTATTTTAACTTTGACATAATGAGGCACTATCCTATAAAATATTTCTATGAGTACTCCTGGTGTTAAACTAGCTGATAGCCCTTTCCTATTTAAATGCTAGCGAAAGTTTTAGTAATAAATGTGATGTATTCTTTGTGGGGTACAAAGAGGAATATATAGGGACATGAAAAGGAATTTGTTAAGGAATAAAAATAATGAGAAAGAAACCTAACATAATAGTAGTAAAGATACAGGAAAAGACATAGAAAATTTATCTCACCAGAAACAGCGCCTCTTCTCAGTCTCAGACAAGTTCTGCCTCCAGAAAAGCCAATTCAGGCATCGGGAAGTGGCAGGATCGATATGGGAGGGCCGAATCACCTGACTTAAGGTAAGACCACCCTAAAGAATGTTGTGCAAGCCCTTCCTCTTGAGACGATTAGCACTGTTTTGTTTTATTTACTGGGACAGTAAATTGTGATTAGACTTGCCACATCTATGCCTTGATATTGCAACACATATCTTTTTGTCTGATAAGTGATACTTTTAGTCTTTAAATATGAAAAAATTTTCCTGGGTCTAATGGTACCTTTAACAAAAAATGTTATTAGTGCTTTATATATGTTCCATATTGTATTCTTAGAGGTCCTGCCTGTCCTTATCATCTCGCACCAAGACTACTTTTATAGTATTATAACTTTTATCCCTCTCCATAGTATTTTCTCTTCCAATCAGTGTTTTATGCTGGCCATAGATTTAAACCTTCATATGCCCTTCTCAAAGAAATTTTCCACCTGCACCTCAGTCCCAAACCTTTCAGCCTATTTAATAAATTTCATACACAGCTTTCATTTGTTCCTCAAGATCTTAAAAATTAGGCTTAATAATACTTTTCCAGTCTTATCTATTATTATTCCCCATGTAAATTGTCCACTGTAATCAAAAGGAAACTAATTATTTTCTATAATGATCATTAAGGTTTGCAAAGCACTTTACATATGTTACCTCATTTGCTCCTCATGACAACCCTGTGAGGTAGGTGCTATTATTATCTTCATTTTGCAGATGACAAAACTGAGGCAGAGAGAGCTTAAATGATTTGTCCAGGGTCACACACCTAGGAAAGACCTGAAGTGGATTTGAACTCATATCTTGCCTCCTATCAAACATACCCTTATGTTTCCTGTCTCTAGGTCTTTTTAAATTCTGTTTTGTAGCCTATTCCTTAGTTGTTATCTAGCCTTCATTCTTCCTGCCTTTAAAACCTGTCATATCCTGTCTTTTCTTCCATGAGTCATCTCCAGCATCCCCTGCTCGTAGTGACCGATATTATTGAGTTTATGGTACTTAGTGTTTATACCACTGCTTTAGTACCAGTAGGATGCTGCCTTGCTTTACTAGTTATGTTCTTAATCTTTCTTTCTGCAAAAATTGGTGTCGCTTCTGGTGGGGCAGTACAGTATAGTATAGTAGGAAGTGCACTTGATTAAAGTCAGAAAGCCTGAGGTCAAATCCGAGATCCAGTGGTATAGTGGAAAAAGCACTGACTCTGGAGTCAGAAAACTTGGTTTCAAATCCCTGCCTCTGCCACCTATAACCTATGTGACTTTTGAGTAAGTCACATGACCTCCCTGGGTCTGTTTCCTCATCTGTCAAAGTAAGGAGTTAGACTGATTGCCTTTTGAGTTTCCTTCCAGCTCTAGATACATAATCATGTAATTATTAACTGTGTAATCTTGGGCAAGTCAGTAATCTCTCTGAGCTTCAGTTACCTCTTCTATAAAATGAGACTTAGACATCCATTACCTATTTTTCAGGGTTGTTTGGCAGAAAGCATTTAGTAAAGCTTAAAATGCTATGTAAATATGAGCTATTTTTACTCTATGAGCCATTGTCTTTTTTATCTCATAAAATGTTATTCACACTTTTTCATTTTCTAGTTTATAAAGAATATACAAGTAAGTGAATAAAACATTCCATGTGAACCAAAAAGAGGCAGGACTTATCAGACTAAACAAACTGGTCCATAAACAATATATGTCAGAAGGAGACATCAGCACAAGCTGAATGATTCTGCCCAAACAAACTTCCCCTTTAGCCTTTACCCTACCTCCACCCCAGATGAACACAAAAGCATAGGAAGAGGGGGCTGGGGTGGGGTATATATGTATGGGGTTGGGGGACGGGCAGGAGATGACACAGGTTTTCACCCAGTGGGTCTCCAAGTGGTCTGGAGATGAAATGTCAACATCTGGACTTGAGGGGTCTCAGACTGACTGCTTCTATGAGCCATTATTACTAGGCGCTTTGTACATTGAAGTATACTAAGATGACTAAAATCTGGTCCTTGTTATTGTACAGTTTTAGGTCAAGTAATCTATGTAAAATGTGAAAGTGCAATACAAGAGGTACAAAAGGGTATGAGAGTTGTTTCCAACCATATTGTGAGATTTTCAAAGACAGGGGGCATGTATTACTTCCCTATAATGCTTAGCATAGTGACATACACAGAAAACATTAAATATTATTGTAATTATGCCAGTAATTTGCAACTTTTCCAATAAAGTGATCATAGCCTATGCGGGAAAGATATTTCAAAATGGAATTGGTAGATATACTTTGTATCTGATTTTAACCTTTTTAAATTTCATTAATTTCTCTTAAAATTGAAGCTTAAATTCTCATTTCCCCCAACAATGTTTTATTATCACAAACTTTTTCTCTTAATGATCAATAATAGTAATTTAATGTGGTATGAAACTTTAAAAAGTACCCTAGGCCAGTGGTGTCAAAATAAAAAAGTAGATCCCTGGGGGTATATTGAATTAGAAAACCACAAATTTACATTTATGTTCTATTTAATTTTTATTTATTTTATCAAACATTTCCCACATTACATTTTAATCTAGTTCTGGCTCTAGCTCTGTGGACAGTGAGTTGATATCTCTACCCTAGGCTCTAACTTAATGAAAATAACCTGAGCCACTAAAATTTTAAAATTTTTGTTTACTTTGAAAAAAGAAATCCACTCTGATGCTTTAAGAACCATATGCTTGATTTTTAAAGCAATCCATTAAAGTCTCTAGGACAGATATTGTCCCCATTTTATAAAAAGGAAAACCAAAACATTTAAAGAGAATTAAGAGACTTTCTCCTTTCTCTTCCCACTCCCCAAGTCTCACAGTTAGATAAGGATTAAATTAGACTTGAAACATTTTTTACAGATCATACTCCAATGAGAAAGTTGCTTTTATTGCCAAGAGATATATTGTTAATTCATAGCTCATTCTTTACAGTTCATAAAATGTTTATTATTAGCCATCTCTGGACTGTATTACTTAGCTTAAATAAATGTTTTTAAAATGCTTATGAATTTTTAAAGTAGTTTTCTATATTATTTCAGGGAGTTTAGGTGTTGGGATTTCCCATTTATAGAAATGTGTTACATAGTTTATGCTTGAATTGAAAATTAAGTCCTTAAAGCCAAGCAAAACCTCTTAAACCATAGAGGTTAGAGTACCCTCTGTCTCCAGAACAAGGTAGTGGTGGGAAGAAAGTTCAGAGAGACTTTATCCCAAGTTGGAAGAGTTGGGCAGTAAGGTTGGCTTTGGAGAATAGTTTGCTGCATTTGTTCCCACTTTTGGGAAATCTGCCAAGCCTAGCATGAAGGTTGAAGGTCAGGATAGAAGATAACTGTGGGACATCTGAAGGGAAAGGGAAAGAGGGCAAGGAAATACTGTTTATTTCATTAGTATCACGGAAGGGGAATGCTAGTAAGATAGTTTGTTGCCAATGCAGATCTTGCTAGTGTCCCCCAGCTTTTGAATGAACTTTTGGGGGGGGGGTTAAGGCAATTGGAGTTAAGTGACTTGCCCAAGGTCACACAGCTAATGTGTGTCGAGTGTTTGGTCTCAGGCTGGATTTGAACTCAGGTCCTCCTGACTTCAGGGCCCGTGCTCTATCCACTGCTCCACCTAGCTGCCCCCTGAATGAACTTTTTTTTTACACGTAATCTAGATGTTCTTGAAGTTGGAGAAGTCAAATGAAGTGATAGACATGCCCAAAAATGATTAATAGAAGGGGAATAACTTTTTAAAATATATATTTATTTTGTTAAATATTTTCCAATTACAGGTAAAAAAATTTTAACATTGTTTTTAAAAATTTGAATTCTAAATTTTCTCCCTCCATTCCACACCTTCCCCCTCCTTAAGAAGGTAAGCAATTTTATGTCTAGTCATACAAAAAAAATTTTTCCTTATTAGCTATATTGCAAAAGAAAACTGACCCCAAAAAACCCAGAAAAATAAAGTAAGTAAAAAAAGTGTGTTTCAGTCTGCATTTAGAGTTTATTGATTCTCTCTCTAGAGGTGGATAGCATTTTTCATGATGGTTCCTCTGGAATTGTCCTGGATCATTGTCTTGATCAAAATAGCCAAGTCTTTCACAGTTAAGTCATCCTTACAGTATTGTTGTTACTATGTACAGTAGTCTCCTGGTTCTGCTAACTTCACTTTGCTGCATCAGTTCATACAAGTCTTCCCAGGTTTTATAAAACTATCCTGCTATTCATTTCTTACAGCACAATAATATTCCATCACAATTATATACCACAACTTGTTCAGCCAGGTAATGGCTAATTTAAATATGAAATAGAACTAGTCTTGATTTTATTGGTTTAGAAAAACTCTCAAAAATTGCAACTTTGGAGTAGTTCTTTGTTTTCATTATTGAACTTTATTTTTCTCTATTGTTTTTATTTCATTGTTAAGTATTTTGCTTTTCTATTTAGCCAGTACAAAAAATAGAGTGAAATATGGTGGAATTTTGGATACAATGCATTTTTTTGATAGCAGCCAAAAGTTCCCATATAACTGAGGAAACTGGCAGTTCCCCCACGTCCTGTTAAACTATATAAAATACATTTATCAAATTGTAAAAAAAAAAAAAAAATTTTTTTGAGGAATTGTCTGTTTTACCAAATACTTTGGTTTCTTCCCCCCCCCTTTTTTGAAGTAGTATCAAAGCTAATTTCCCATATTATAAATTTCCTCACCTAGGTTTCCTGTGGTTTGCTGTAATGCTTAACATTTTATTATGAGAGAAACATTTTTAGAAAAAATGACAGGTTTTTCCTAAATACATCAGTTGATCCTTTATTTAGTAGTTTGTATGATTATTTTTTGTTGTGTGCCTATTTTTTCTATTTCAGAGAGATCTTATTTTATGGGCATGGTTTCTGTTTAGATTAATATAGTACTTTGTCTGCAGGGAGAAGTGCTGCAGGATTCATGTAAGTGGACATTTAAAGGGACAATGAGATTCTACTCTATTATAGTTCAGCAAGCATTTATTGAACATTAAAGGTCACTGTGCTAGGTGCTAAAAGGC